AAAATATTATGAGGAAATTGGTGATTGTTTTCCCGAATTATTACGATTAAAAGAGTTGTTAAAACTGGGTGCATTGTCACGATTTATGCAATCAAAGTATGAAGCGACTAAAGACTATATTTGTACGATTGAAAAGGATACTACAATTGATGAATGTTTAACAAAAATGAAGAGGAAAATTTCTGGTTATACAGTAGATGAAGAAGGTTTTAACAAAGTATCCAATATGTTATGTAAACAATTTTATTGTAAAAAAGGTGATTTAAAACCGTATTTATCAAACTGGTTATATCATAGTAACCATCAACAAGCGCTAACAACATTTATTAAGCAAACATTAATAAAACGTAGATCAAAGTTAAAAGAGACAATGGATAAATTAGGTATATATATTCAATCACAGAATGTTGCTGATGGCAATGACAGTATGAGTAATGTACATACACAGTGTTCATGGGTACCAGCTGTATTTTCAACGAAACAAACAAGTCATATTAAAGTATATGGAGGAGTAACTAATATACTGGAACTCGTTGAAGAGACAAACATCAAAGCAAATCAACAAAAACGTAGTAAACCGTATGACGCAGTAAAGTCATTCAATCAAGGTGAATCATTCACCTCAGACTCGCTTCGAGGTTGAGTTTAAAATAAGTATACGGCAATAAGTAACGTGATAAATAAAGTACGATATCGCGATCACTTCTTGCTGTTTTTCAAGTAGAAGTGAGAGATCTCCAATGATCAAAATGAGAAAAAAAGAAAATCATTTCGAGTGTAGAATCGAGAGGAGCAATATGGTGATTCTATACCTCGTCATCATCGGTATCGTCAGAGTTTCATGATATATGGATATCATAACTTTTCAACAATGTGTGCAATATTTGTCAAGATTGTGAAACTTGTATAAAGACGTCACATTTGATAGTTATCTCCTTTGAGACCAATATATGTACTACTTTTTAGCGCTATTTGAATCAATCATATTTTATTATCGATTAGTCATCACTCTTCTTCTTTCATTCAACATCTGAGCGTTTTTTTAGCTCTGTTCCAATACTTTTCTCGATCCGCTTGTCCGTTTGTACC